AAGGAAAATGGTTTAGACCGAAAAAGCAAAATACTTCTCTATCGTTTACGGGCGATTGATATAAGAATTACGCTTGATTGAGCGAAAAGGAAAAGTAGATAGTAAAATTTGAAATCAGGTTTGGAATGCTTTATGAATAGTATTTACAGGGAAGAAATTAAATTAATAACTTTAAAAAAACTAACATATAACAATTATGGCACAAAACAGCAATAAACTCTCCGGTAAATTAGAACTCAATTGAGTTAACAAAAATAAAACTCTAATTGTTAGCGATTATGAGAAAGTTAAATATGAATGAGTAAACCCTAATGATTACCGAGTTTCCGAAGTCCGATTATTAAAAGAAATGGAGAAAGTTGGCGAAAATTCCTCTGATAACCTAATAATTTGCGGTGATAGTTTAAATGCTCTGACTAGTTTAACCAAAATTCCTGAATATCAAAAAAAGTATGTCAATAAAGTCAAGTTGATTTATATTGACCCGCCTTTTAATACCGGACAAATGTTTGCCAATTATGATGACCAATTAGAGCATTCAGTTTGGTTAACTATGATGCGAGATAGAGTGCTAAAAGCCTATGAATTATTAAGTGATGATGGTTCTTTATGAGTTCATTTAGACAATACCGAATTATATCATTTTAAACTGGTTTTGGATGAAATTTTTGGAAAGGAAAATTATGTAGCGAATGTAGTTTGACAGAGAAGAGCAGGAGGAAATACAAAAGACATTAAAGGCATTTTTTCTATTCATGATTACATTCTTATTTATTCAAGAAACGAAAATTGAAAAGGAAATTTTTTAAATTTTGAAGTTGATTTAAAAGGATTTAAGCACAAAGATGAAAAAGGTTATTATAAACTACGTTCTTTGAGGCAAGGAGCCAATGCCAGTCTTCGTTCTGACCGCCCAACTATGTATTATTCACTAGCCGCGCCTAATGGTGAGGAAATTTACCCTGTTAATTCTAATGGAAAAGAGGGGCGTTGAGTTTGAAGCAAGGAAACTTACAAGCAGAGAAAAGAAGAAATTAAATGAATTAAGGATAAAAACGGTGGTTATATGCCTTATCGGCGACAATATGCTGAAAAATCTGGTTCTTTTCCTTCTACAAGTTGGTGAACATACGAAGAAGTTGGAAGCAATGCAGAAGCTAAGGGAGAAATTAAAAAATTATTTCCGGAAATTGAGCCTTTTTCTACACCCAAACCAGAAAGGTTATTAAAAAGAATTATCCAAATTGCCACTAATGAAGGCGATATTGTACTTGATTATTTTGCTGGTTCCGGCACAACGGCCGCAGTGGCTCAAAAATTAAAGCGTAAGTGAGTTATTGTGGAAAAAAAACGAGAATACGATTAATGCTTTTACAGTTCCACGGTTGAAAAAAGTTGCTTCGGGTGAGGATAAAGGTGGAATTAGTGAGGAGGCAAATTGAACTGGTGGTGATGGATTTACTTATTTTCAAGTGGAAAAGTCTATGTTTGATACTCATTCCGGAATAATTTGTATTGCCGAACATGCTTTGAATGGTAAATTAGCGAAATTAGTTGCTACTCAATTAGAATATGACTATCAGCCGGAAAACGAACATTTTTGCGGCAAAAAAGGAGATACTTTATTAGCGGTAGTGGATGGCATGTTGACCGAGGGATTGCTTAATTTTTTGTTGAATTCTCTGGATGGAGAAAAGTTTTTAGAAATTGCCGCTTTGGCGGTTGACCCAGATTTGGAGAGTAAAAATTATAATAATGTTAAAGTTGGAAAAGTACCGAATAATATTTTAAGGCATTATGCTAGGATTTAAAGGGTTTTTGAAAAGGATGTTGTAAAATATGAACTTTTTTTCTTCTAGTTTATCAAGATAGTTCACTAACTCCTTTCCTGTAAAACTAGAAATTTTACCCCGACAAATATCATATAATTTTTGTTCGGAAATATTTAATTTTTTGGCTATAATCTTTAAACTTAATTTGCTTTGTTGTTGATAAATCAAAATTTTTTTACCAACCAAATACTTTTCTTTTGTTTCAAGGGAAGCGTTAGGAGAAAGTAAAATATTCCCCCCCTCATAATTGTCGACTGAAATTTTTTCTATTATTTCCTTATCGGTTAAGGAATTAAAATTTTTAATTCTTTTTGTCATACTTCTTTTTAGTGCGGTGGCAAGTTCTTATCCTTAAAAAAGAACTTTTTTCTTTCGGTCAACATCAA